ACTACCTTTTCTACTCAATAAAAACAAGTATCCGTTGCCGAATCACGTAAATTAATAGAAAGTCCTTATTTTATATGCTTTCCACAAACAAGTTAAATGTTCACATCATTGTCATCTTTAAGCTAAGTCCACATCGATCTTTTATCAATCTATATTCCCAGTTTTATAATTAATTTAACCACTTATCACACCTATAATTATAAGCTTCAATTGATGGATTTTCATTTAATATACTCATCAAAACTATTTCTACAAATTGCCAATCAAGTTCTTACAGAAGTGAGACATTTTCTTATCCTCTTTCTCTCAGTAGAAAGTCTTTTTCATTCATAATAATAACAGGGACTAGAATCCAGTCTAACTCATCTAATTCATTAGTATTAACATCATTCATTAATTGGACAGTTAATCTTCCATGCCGATGTCATTTCATCAATACACTTAATCTACATAGCCCACTATTTACATAATTTCCTATAGTGCTCGTTTTCTCGATCATAGGTTCCTATTAAAACAAAAATCCAATTGTTTGATAATATATTACATCGAGTGATGCAGAACACACTATTTGTAAACATAAATGACTAAATTACATTAGTTATTCTTATGCTATACACATATTAACCCATAAGATGCCACTCCACAATATCCATCACTAAATACAAGATCTAGAAGTCTTATCTTTTATAAGAACTCACAGATCTTACGTCTTATCTTATACCACAATTATTATATTATTCCCTATATTCACACACCAAAGGAATAGTTGCTAAATTAACATATCACTTTACTCTACCAAGTAGCCATTACTATATAATAAAACTCACTTCAATAGTAATCCACCAATATATATTTATATATGCAACGAACACTTAAACTTCTCACAATTATCTATAGCAAATCAACACCAAATTCCTTCAAATATTTCAACCTTATTAAAAATCATGTATATCATTCCATCTAGAAATATATCTCAATAATTATAAGCAATTCTACTACCACATTCATGTTATTTCAATCAATAATAATACTATTTCAATACTCTAGTTAAATGCGATTCTAATGTCTCAGAATTCAAATCATTCTAGTTCTCTTATTTCAAATACTTAGGCAATATTCTCAATTTCCGCAAGGCACACGTATACACAACATTCATCGCAGTCTTCAATATATTATTACCTACTTCCACACGTATTAAATGGTTAAAATATAACTTTTATACTTTCATCATTTAACTTTAACTTATTAATCATATATAACTTATCTTCTTACCTACTTAAATTATATATGAATATTATTTATTCCATAGAAAGATTTTTTTTGCTTAAACCATCCCTTAGCATCAGTAACTAAATCACATTTCTAAAGAACAAGGATACAGATTTTAATCATTAAACAACTTGACTTTATCCTAGCTGCGAATCACGCTGAATGGGAAAGCAAGGAAAACTATGTCAAGACATGACAGGAATTACTCCGCAGTTACATCTAGACTTATGAACTTTTGCTCTGATACCACCTTTACCACTTTGGCCCGTAGTAAGCCTAAATTATCCAATCTGTCTACCTATCTTGCCCAATTAATTCATCAAAACAGTAAGCCTCAATCTCAATTAACACAGAATATCTAACCAGGACCTATTCACAATAAATTATAATCAGATTATGGGCTTATTAGTTCACTTGCAGTTAATTACATAATATTTAATTTATAGTGTAATGCTAACAATAAGTCCAATAGTAATACACAACCCTATAACTGCGGAGTTCAAAAAAAAAATCTGATAATAGAGTATAACTGTTAGTATACATAGCTTTCATACACATAATTACATAGCAAAATAATTATGGAACTAGAAAAAATTCTTTATTGCCCTGCGCTGAAGAAACATAGCCTAAATTGGATTAAAGGAAAAACCTACTTCCTGAAAAAATCAAACAAGACATGTGAGTTTTCTAAGGAGTAATAATTTTACACCACACACGCAGTCACACAAATGTGTAAACATATTAATCTAGTCGTCCGACTAGTTATATGCTCATACAGCCAGTCACACAAATGACATATCACCAGTAATCACAATTAATATCACATCACGTGGAAATTGGTCTGTGGCGTCACCGAAACCCCTCCGATGAGCCGTCCTCGTCCACAATGGCTCATCTCTCCTCACATGTTGCAACCAAGGGAGCCGATTCCCCATACTGGCCGACCGGTCCTTAATTCCTCACTGACCACTTCTCATTGTTTCTCATTATTCTTTTTTCTTTTCCATACCAATCATGGAGGCAACTCGGTCCGGTCTCCATCAATCTTAGATCATCAGGCCGCTCACAACGGAGGCCACCCTGCGGGCCTGCGATCAATCTAGATTTACCGGTGCGCCCAATAAAGAATGGTCCCAATCCTGTGGTTAACAGTAACGGTAACGGTAGGTTGCACACGGGGGCCGCGATCTTCCCTCGAATTTAAACCCTGGCTTAACGAACAAATCAGGATCCATATATACAGAATCAAGAATATAACAGAAAAATCGAATCAGGAATCCCGTATTACAGAAAATAGTCTCAACAAACCCTGGTGTACCATTCATCCCATCTCACTATCAAACAAGGCACAGTAATATGCCACAGGCAACAAGTAATCTACAATTCTTTCACGTATTACAACAATTTCTTTACAAATGCACAATTATATATAGTATAATTATATGATCGTAACAATATATATGATATAAATTACTTGTAATATATTGTAAAATATGTTATATAAAAATATAATGTTTATGAATAAATGGTTATGCAAATGCAGTGTTGAATATACATTATTTATTATTACTCAACAGTGACTGGAGAGCGAAATTCTAAGCTTTGGATGTTGTTCCCTGGAGGAGCACTAAGATGGACCCGGGCGAATCTAAGCCAAAGTAAGAATAACACAAAAGAATAACTCTATCAGACAAAATATTTTTTTTACCCTTTCTAATAATTTATTTTATATTTCTAAATTTTTCTACGTAATTTAATTCTCGAATATTTAATTTCTTTTCTGTAATAAATTTTATTTCTCTATCTAAAACTCTATTTCATTTATTTTCTTTCTAAATCTATTTTATTTCCTAACCGAAATCCTATTTTAATTTCCACCGAAATTTATTTTATTTTTTTACTGAAAATTTATTTTATTTTCTAATTTCTACGCGAAATTTCCGACAGCATCTCCCCCAAAAGAATTGGACTATCCACCTGTTAAAAATATCAAACAATTTATTTAATAATTCCCAAAACCAACACAGCCCATTCCCGTCGGGCATTCAATCAATGCAATTTTTTCTCCGTCCTCTTCATCCAAATAGTAATATTCAAAATTACAATTCAACCTTAACATCAACCTTTACATCCATAATTTAATAAATTAAAATTACATACAAATATATCTACCTTCAAAATCACACTTAAATTCCATAAATTTTATTATTAACCAATTTCCCTAATTAAATTATTTAATACTGAATTTAATTTTAACTAACTATTATTTTTTATAATCAAATAATTACTTCATAATTAAATTAATCAAATAACTATTTTGAATTCATTTAAACTAACAAAACAACTAATTACTAACTAAAATATTTTAATTTATCAATAAATTAATACCTATTTAAATTATACTCAAGATTACTAAAATCAAATTACTAATCAAAGTTCAATCAACTAAAATTGGGGTTAGAAATTTAAACCTAACTAAATGACTCAATTTAAATTAACTATCGTTAATAAAATTAATTAACGAAAAATGGGTCGTTAAATTAATTTTATACCCAATATAATTTTTTTTTTGTCGAATTTTGCTAAGATCGGAAATTTGCTCGGTGTTGGAATTCGGAGCTTAACGCACGCCAGAGTGGTCCGATCCGACTTGACAGTGGCAAGGGAAGGCGAAGGTGGCACGAATCTTTGGTGGTGTTCTGCGACAGGGAGCTTTGCAGCGGTGGCTGGGTGATCTGGCAGAGGGCGGAGGTGGGCTTTTGGCGGTGAGGCTTGAAAGTGGTGCTGCTGCTGTAAGGCGCGACAGACCCTGGCAAAGAGGGCCGACTGTGGGCGCGCGGAGGAGCTAACGGGACGTGCTGGCGCGCGATGGAGGCGGTGCGACTGCAACTGGCGCGCGGTGGTGATACGCGACGTTGCTGGAGTTGCCTGGCAAGGTGAACGCGACACAGTTGCAGGGAAGAAGAAAGGGAAAGAAAGAAAGAAAAAAGGAAAGAAAAGAAAGAAAAGAAAGAAGAAGAAGAAGAAGAAGAAGAACGAAGAAGAGGGAAGGAGGAGGCGCGGTGGCTTGGTTGTTGGTGGAGTGGAGGTGGGGCGCTGGTGAGGATGAGAAGTAGAAGGTGCAGCGCTGGAGATAAAAAGAAAAGAAATAGATGTTTTCTAGAATGGTTTTGGGTCGAAACCAGGTTCGATTCGTTCGATTCGGACCAAAATCTTTGAATTTTCAATTGGTTTTCGCTTTTCATCGGTTTTTCGATTTCGAAATTTCCTCACAGTGTTCGCAATAAAATAATTAAAATAAATTTTCCAAGTGTTCGCAATAAAATATTAAAATAAATTTCCAAGCTGTCGGTTTATTAAATTTAATTGGAAAATCTTTGAAAATAAAAATTCGGGTTGTTTCACAAAATAATAATTTTATAATTTTTATTAATGAAAATTAAAAATATTTTTAACACTAAATGTGTAGTTAAATATATTCAAATTTTTAAATGGATAATTATAATTGGATTTGATACTAATTTGGGTATTAAAAATAAATTTCTAGCCGAAACGGAATTGGATATTTAATTTACAATTGAATTCAAGTTCGGCTTCTTAATTTTAGGTGGATACCTTACCCGTTCGGATCGATCCAGGTGGCATACCCACTGACTTGAATGACATGTATTTGGCATACCCACTGACTTGAATGACATGTATCATGCTGCAAAGAGACGGCGTCGTCCAATGGTTTATCATCGTCGTTTCCACTCGTCATCATCAAAAACCCAAAACCATAAACCTCACTGGACTTTGGAAGCAGAGGCTTGTATCAAATGAATTAGAAACCCAAACATTTTCCTCTTCAAATCCTGCGGTGGAAAGTGACAGAACGAACATAAAGAAATTATTTTCCTTTCCTTTCTTTTCCATTCCCGTTCTTTTCATAACATGATATAAAGCAGAAGGAAATGGAATCCCTCACTTCTAAACCTCCTCTTAATTCCATTGGGTTTCCAAAACCCTTTGTTGGCAACTTTCCATACTCTCTCTCTTATCCCAAAACACTCAAATGCGCCTTTAAAACTAGAAAATTAAGCTCTCAAAATGGCTCAATTCCATTCGTAAACCGTAAAACATTCACAATTACTGCTTTTGCTAACTCGGTTTTGGCGTCTCCTAACTCAGAAGAAGAAGACCCCGAGTCGGCTAAGCTATTCGAGGTATTATGTTTATTAATCTTTTTTTTTTTTTTTCGTTTTTTAGTTCTTAAGAGTGTGAAGATGAATTTTCTTTTTCTTTTTTATAGAAATTGAAACAGAAAGAGAGACAAAGAGTCAATGAATTGGAAGAGTTAGAGAGGAAGGCAGATGTGCAATTGGAGAGGCAGCTTGTAATGGCATCGAATTGGAGCAGGGCATTGTTGACTATGCGTGGAAAGTTGAAAGGAACAGAGTGGGATCCTGAAAACTCTCATAGAATTGATTTTAGTCAGTTTTGGAGGCTTCTTAATTCAAATAATGTTCAGTTTATGGAGTACTCGAATTATGGGCAGACAGTATCAGGTATGCATTTGGTCTCATAGAATTGATTTTAGTCAGTTTTGGATGCTTCTTAATTCAAATAATGTTCAGTTTATGGAGTACTCGAATTATGGGCAGACAGTATCAGGTATGCATTTGGTTGTTATGCTGTTTGTATATTAATTTGACGATATTACTTCTTATAATTGGTTGAATGGTATAGATACACGTGGGTTTCAATTTTGGATAGAAGAACTGCATACAAATTGATACTTTGTCCAACTAAAATTCCTCAGATATGAAATTATGGAATTGGTTAGGAGAGATTGCCCGTCTCTCTCTCTCTCTCTCTCTCTCTCTTTTTGTTTTTAGATAAGAAAAGACTTTCTATTTTCAAAATCAGTCCTTTACTCAATATTTCTAATGCTTTAGCTGTTTGAAGCCAATTATATCCTTTTTTGGCTCAGTCTTTGGAGTCGAGTAATCATTTAGTTACTGTTTAGTTAGGGATCGTTACTACTTTTTTTGTTATGTATAATTCAATTGCATCTTTAAAGTCGGTTGTTATTGTTACTGGCGCAAGCCATTGGTCCGTACTTCACTTGGCTTAACCACTGAAAAGTACATTGTTGTTTTTTTTTTTATTTACTAATTGTTCTCTATGCTGGCAAATGTTGTAAAACTTACATAATTTTGTTTCATTGGCATCTTTTGCTGAAAGATTCTGGTCTATTTCTGCAGTGATTCTGCCATATTACAAGGATGGTAAAATGGAGGGAGCAAAAGGAAATTCTAAGAAGGAAATTATATTTCGGCGCCATGTTGTTGACCGCATGCCAATTGATGGTTGGAATGATGTTTGGCAAAAGTTACATCAGCAAATAGTAAATGTAGATGTCCTTAATGTGGATACGGTTCCTGCAGAAGTGTACAGTACTGTTGCAACTGCAGTCATTTGGTCTATGCGACTTGCTTTATCTGTTGCATTGTATATCTGGATTGATAATATGATGAGACCAATTTATGCAAGGTTAATTGATAATATGATGAGACCAATTTATGCAAGGTTAATACCTTGTGATATGGGAAAGCCCAGCCAAACAATTCAGCAACCACTCAAACGCCGTGCACTTGGTTCACTTGGCAAGAGTCGGTAAGTTGAATGTTGATTGCCTGGGGAATTGCTGTTGGATGCTTTTACTATATTTAAATGGCTGATGTCCTCTCTCTTTCTCTCTGTTTATCTAACTTTGGAATGAGAAACATTATGCTTAGTAGTTGATTGATTCTTTTAGACAGAAGACGAGCTCACATTTTTCAACTACAGAGGAGACGTCAAAAAATTATAGAGGTGTTAAGAGTTGCCAATTTTCATAGAACATTGGACTCTACTTGTACTTTTAATTAGGAATGTTATCCACTGATCATATTTTTTTTTTTACTTTGTTGCACTCCATAAGGGTCATACTTGCTTCTTGTCAAATCCAATGTATTTGTTTCTACATTTATTTTCTTCTTTCTTAGTCTCTCTCTCCCCCGGCCCAAGAAAAATGCGTAAGGCTAATTCTGTTTTTGTATAACTGATTCCAAGTTGATTGTGTTCCATTTGCCTTCTTACAAGTTACATTCTAATCTCCATTGACTTTTAGACTTGTGCTATGTTTGGCAAACAGTAATGCAATCTAATGATGATTACATCGCATCAATTTCTTTATAACATTAAAAAGAAATTCCTGCAATGTGATTACTATTACCTTGCATTACGGCTTACCAAACATAACCTTAGTAGTTCAGTATATCCAATTTTAATTGATTTTGAACTTTTGACCAGTTATATATATAGTGTTTTGGTATTCAAAATTGTTAGATGTTGCAATCGGATAGTAACTACCACTGATGATTTTTTCCATCGACAATAGTTGGAGTATTTTTACAATCACAAACATCAATGCTAATTTTGGACTGCCTTTCCACCAGGGCAAAGTTTATATCAGCAGAAGAAAGTACTGGTGTTACGTTTGATGATTTTGCTGGCCAGGAATATATAAAAAGGGAACTACAGGAGTTTGATGATTTTGCTGGCCAGGAATATATAAAAAGGGAACTACAGGAGATTGTACGAATTTTGAAGAATGATGAAGAGTTTAAAGACAAGGGTATCTATTGTCCAAAAGGTGTGCTTCTTCATGGGCCTCCTGGAACTGGTAAAACTTTGCTAGCTAAAGCTATTGCTGGGGAAGCAGGACTGCCTTTTTTTGCAGCAAATGGCACAGATTTTGTAGAGGTGAGGACTAATTTTCCTTTGGAAGATCCAATAAAGAAAAATGATTACAAATAATAGTGGAAGATTAGTTGCTTCCAAAACTTTATTCAATGAACTTCATTGAAAATTCAGTTGCTCTCATTTAAATAATATGAAGGCCATTTTTGAATATCAATAGATAAAGAAGAGTTTAAAAGAAAGATTTTCTCTTATTTCTTCCTTGAATTATGTGTTTAACATCAACCTTATACACACACACACAAGTCTAACTCTAAATAGGAAAATACAGAAAAAGGAAACTACAATGATCCCTCCTAAATAAGCTATACAATATATTTCCTGATTATACCTCCTAAATAAGCTATACAATATATTTCCAGATTATACAACTCAACACTCTCCCTCAAGTTGGTGCATAGACGTTGCACATGACCAACTTGCAATCAAATTATGAAATTGTTTGCTGTTAAGTTTGAGGTAGGGGCTGCGCGATCATGGCAATATGTTCTGTTGACGCCAAAGGCGCAAGCACAACCAAAACGCCTTGTTAATTTCTAAATTAGTACAAGCATGAGTCCCCAACCTTACTAATTGAACTGCTTTTTTATTAAGCTTCTTTTGTCTTCTTTTTTATGTTAACTGGTTATTTTAGTCTTTTCAGTTCATGATAATTAGAATGCTTGCTTTAGGTGCCACATGGCTATCTTGCTGATTTTCACTGTAATTAAACGATTTTCTTCATCGCTGCTGACTCATGAATTATTCAGAATACCTAGAACTTGAAGAAACCTGCCTAACTTGAAAGGTGACTTTCTAGATGTTTGTAGGTGTGGCGGCATCTCGTGTGAAGGATCTTTTTGCCAGTGCCAGATCTTTTGCTCCTTCCATCATCTTTATTGATGAAATTGATGCTATTGGCAGCAAGCGTGGGGGACCTGACATTGGCGGGGTAAGATATGTGTTTGCTTCTATCTATTAAGTTCTAGTGCAGGAAATTAAACAGTGCAAAATTGTAAATATTATGGCAATTACAAAGGTGTGTTATTCCAAAGGAGCTCTGATTCATATAAAGTCATTATGGATTTCATTGGAACAAGAAGAAATAGCATAGCAAAATGCAGTCCAAAGTGGCACCATTCTAGACAGTTTCGTTGTTTAAAGTTGCATTGCTTGGTTAGTTCTTGTTTGAATCTATTAATTGCATTGCATGCTGTGACAACAATTATGTGACCAAAAGAAAATGTAGTTTGTGAATTTTAATCTTTGATCTTCATTGTAGGGTATATTATCTTTGATTTATTTAATTCTTTTGTTGTGTGGAATATGAAATGTTGATGGAGGAGCATAGTAGTTAACCTCTTGGCAACCTTATTTATATGCTGGCAACTTCATATGAACTGGGAAATTCATTTTGTAGCAGTTCCTCAGTGATGATGACAACACTGCATGCAAGTGATAACTAAGGAAAAATTAGAGAGGGTCTGAGAGGAGGATTGTGCAATCTTAGAAGGTTAGATGTTGCTTGAAAAGTGATGAAAAGGAACACAGCTGCGCTCACACTAGAGAATATAATGCCATAGGTAGTAGACTAAAGCAATGGTGACTCAAGGTGGACACAGTAATGCATGTGTGGGGCAATATTTAGAGAGAGAGTTTGAAATCACTGATGACAAAATATACTGCAAATTAAAGGTATAACAGATGCTTACATGGAGAAGGGAGTGACAACTGCCTAATAAAAATAGGAAATAGAAGGGAGTGACAACTGCCTAATAAAAATATGAAATAGTGCCATGTGTAAATTTAGATAGGGATTAATGGAGATGTGCCATGTTCTAAGAAAAAATGGCTAACATTTAATTAATGTAGCAAGAGAGATGAACCAAGGATGAATTTTCCATAATGACGCCAATTCAAGCCCATTGAAACATTGTCTAACTATAAAAATAGTTCTGGTATCCCATTAGTTATTAAAAAGATCCATTTATTATTCATGTTTTATTTTATTTGGATTTCCAAATGATTGACATTATTTTGTTGGATGAGTATTATTTTTAGAGTATTATTTTTAGCTTTACATATACAACTTTAGATAAATTTTTAGCCATCAAAAATTGGTGATGCTGGATGGTAAGCTACTTTACTTGCATGGACATATGATAGTAGGCATGGCCGGTTCAAAATTTTTAAAATGTTGAACCTGAACCGGCCCTTGAACCGCCGGTTCGGTTCTAGTTCCGGTCTGGACCGGTTCTAGTGCTGTTCCGATGAACCGACAGTTCCCATTACGGTTTCTAGCAATATATATATATTTTTTAACAAATCAGTTCTAATGTTACATCTTTCTTTCATAAATATTAATATGAGTTTAAAAAATATTGGTAAATTTTATTTTAAATAAATTTTAGAATGCTCATACTATATAAGAATAAAGTTAAATTCATTTACAAAAATAATCAAATAGAATTATCATTTTATTTTTGGTTTAAATATTATTATTAAATAAATTATAAGAAAATTTTAAAATGCTTCAAAAGAATGTAATTTAAAAACTTCAGTAAACATTTAAAAGGGGAAAAAAAAAAGGGTAAAAAAAAAAGTTAAAAATAATATAATTTTAGACTAAATATTTCTCTCTTTTTTACCATTTTACTTTAGATTTTTAACTTTTAAAGTGAAGTATATTTAAAAAAAAAAAAAAATCTTAAGTAAAGTATATCATATAGTAAAATATTATTGAGACTTTTAGAGAAGTATAAAATAGGCTAAGTGATTATCATTTTGAAAATAAAAATAGAAAATTTTCGGTTCGAATCGGACCGAAACCACCAAGTAATCGCTGGTTCTGGGCCGGTTTAGGTTCATATTTTACCATTCACATGAACCTTAACCAGCCCTTGAACCGCCGGTTTTGGTTTGAAATTTTGAACCACCGGTTTTGATCCAGTTCCAGTTCGTCTACAGTACGGTTCGGTTCCGGTTAGAACTAAACGGGTGGCCATGCCTACATGATAGTTAAGTTTATGCATGGAATATTATTTTTAAATACGGACCAACTATGAAAATTTAGTTGCTATAGAGCTTGAAGATGTGATTTATTGTATAGGGTGGTGCTGAGAGGGAGCAAGGCCTTCTTCAGATACTGACTGAGATGGATGGATTTAAAGAATTTACATCTCAGGTATGCTCCATCATATTTTGGTGCATTGAGGGGATTGGATTTTTTAATCAACTGCTAACCTTTGGCTTGTCAGGTGTTAATTATAGGTGCAACCAATAGACTTGACATTCTTGATCCTGCCCTCTTGAGAAAGGGTCGTTTTGACAAGATTATAAGAGTTGGTTTGCCATCTAAGGATGGTAGACTAGCAATATTAAAGGTATTTTTTTTTATTAAAGGTATTTTTTTTAAAATGTAGCTGTATTCCAAATTTCTAGTTCAACTACATTAATAATCATCATTGAGATTTTAAACTCTGCAGGTTGCATGCTAGAGAATAAATTTTTCCGTTCAGAGAGGAAAAGCTAGCTTTACTGCAGGAAATTGCAGAGATGACAGAAGATTTTAACCGAGACTGAGCTGCCAGAATATACTGTAATTTTATCTGACTGATCATAACCCCTTTGATTTCATTTGTACAAAGGGGCTAATGTTCCTGAATTGATTATAGGAATGAAGCCCTGGAATTTAAACAGCCAGAAGGATTAGATTAACATTGACCGAGAAGAACTTTCTAGAGGCTTTGAAGAGGGTTAGTTGCTGCCTTACCTCCCCTCCCTGTATCCTGTGGCACAATTTTTTTTTTTTTTATGTGAAAATTAAAAACCTTTTTTAGCAGTAAATGATTGTTTGTTCTCAATGCATTTAATACTTGATTATCAGCAAAAAGGAATTTGGAAACGGGCCAGGAAGATAGTACTGATATTCCAGAGGAATTGAAATTAAGAATTGGCTTAACGAGAAGCAGCCTGTTTGCTGGTCCTTGCGTGCATTTTCCTGTGCTATTTTCCTGATCCCTACCACCCCTTCACAGAGGTCACTGAAAGGATACATTTGAATGCTTTGATGCTCTATTGTTTGGTTAAGTGTTGAAGTACATGCCACTCACTTGTTTAAATGTGTATTCTGCAGACAGACATAAATTCTATACATAGCCAGCCAAATATGCGCTATGCAGAAATTGCGGGCAGAGTTTTCGCAAGGAAATCAGATTACGTGAATGCTGTAGTGCGTGCATGTGCCCGTAAGTTAAATAAATCTTATTCTTACAACATAAACTTTGTTATGGATTGAGAAGAATTTGTGTTTGCATTTGATACATAATTTATCAATGAATTACTTAGGTTTATATACGAGAAATTTCTAGGCTATTTAGGACTATAAATCATTAACTAATTAGGAATACTAATTTTCCTTAACATTCCTCCTCAAGTTGGAGCATAGAATATAATCAACATGAGCCCCATGCAAAGCTTTTGCGAAAATATCAGCCAACTGGTAGCCAATTTTAGCGTAACCTGTGGTGATAAATTTTTCTTGAATATTGTCACAAGCAAAGTGACAATTGCAATCATGAAATACTGGGTTAGCAGCAATATGAAGGTGCAACTTGATTATCACACCATACTTTAGTAGGTACTGAAGACTTAAGACCAACTTCATTCAACAGTCAATGCACCCATGCTGATAGAGCAAGGAATGGGAACAGAATTTCCAAACAGAGATTTCAGAAAAATAACAGCTGATAGAGCAAGGAATGGGAACAGAATTTCCAAACAGAGATTTCAGAAAAATAACAGAAAAACAAATAGAATGAGAACTTGAATGGATTTCTTTTGATTGATAACTGAAGGATGAAAAATAGGCCAGTAATATCTCTGGATTAAAAAATCAAATGAAGGAAATAGCACGAAAGATGAAATAAACTTGACTAGCAATAATCAAGCAGGAACTGAAGTTTCTTTACAGATATCACAATCTGCCAAAAATATAAATATTCCCAAAAGATGTCTCACAACAAAATCCTCATGATGTTATATGGCACTGGTATCACCATTGTTGTAATAACAATGCCACCTGGAGCTCTCTCATTGCTTGAATCTCTGTGCATAAACCTCATACCCTTCTCCTTGTCTGCTGTCACAAATTTGGGCCTTATTGAATAAACTTTGAAAGGCTTGGTAGTGGTAATTGGCTGCTCATTCCTATTACATACACAGATTGTGCCATGGCTCTATACTTTGATTCTGCACTGGACCAAGAAAGCACATTTTGTTTCTTACTTCTCCATGAAACCAAATTTCCTCCAACAAAAGCACAATATCCAGTTGTAGATCTTCTATCAATTTTAGAACCTACTCAATCTGCATCTGAATAATACTCAATTTTAAAATGTTCATGATTTGAATATAACAAACCTTGTCCTGGAGCTCCGTTTAAATAGCACAAGATCTATTCTAGAGCTGTCCAATGATTTACAACACGCTGAATATGCAATATCCGGACGAGTCACTGTAAGATAGTTTAATTTACCAACCAGTCTTCTATACTTCTTAGGATCTTTAAAACAATTCACCATCCTCTTTTATGAGTTGTATATTGGGTGCTATGGGTTCACTGACTTAAGATCTAATTTTCCTGTTTCTATCAACAAGTCAAGAACATATTTTCTTTGGGACAAAAGAATATCTTTCTTGCACCTTATTATTTCAATACCCAAGAAATACTTCAACAAACCCAAATCTTTTGTCTGAAATTGGGAGTGAAGAAAGGATTTTAGGGATGCTATGCCTGTATTGTCACTATCAGTAATAACAATATCATCAACATATACTACTAAGAATTATGCCATTCTTAGAATTCCTATAGAATATTGAATGATCACATTTACTTTTCTGCATTCCAAATACTTAAACCGCTTTACTAAATCTACCTCAAAGCACGAGGACTCTGTTTTAACCCATATAATGATTTGCGAAGATGACAAACTTTCGCATACTCCCCTTGAGCAACAATCCTAGGTGGTTGCTCCATATAAACTTCCTCATGCAAATCACCTTGCAGAAAAGCATTCTTGATGTCAAGTTGATACGAAGGCCAGTTACAAGTTTCTGCTAGAGAGATAAAGATACGAATCGAAGCAATCTTTGGTAATGGAGAGGAAGTATCTGAATAATCCACACCATAAGTCTAAGCATACCTTTGGCTACAAGAAGAGAGTTGTAACGAGCTATAGAGCCATTGGCTACAAGAAGAGAGTTGTAACGAGCTATAGAGCCATCGGGATTTAACCTTCACAACAAATACCCATTTACATCCAATAGTAGCTTTTCCAACAAGCAAAGTTATCAAATCCCAAGTACCATTGACATCCAAAGCCCCCATTTCTTCTTCCATAGCAGCTCGCCAACCAGGATATGATAATGCTTCATGAATAGTTTTAGGAAATGAAACAGAATCTAAAGACAATAAATGAGCTAGAAGAAGAATAAGAAATGTGGTCATACAAAACAAAAGAACAAATAGGATAGGTACACTTACATTTACCTTTTCTAAGAACAATAGGAAGATCAATGCTGGGATCAAGAGGATTCGGAATGGTAGGAGCTGGATCCGGTGATGAAGAGTCTGGCGTCAGGCATGAGTCGAGAGCCTCTAACCTACGAGAATAAACATGAATAATTGGAGGAGGTTAGTAGGTGCTGGTGCTAGTGTAGGTGCAGATGGAGATTTTGCAGAAGGATTGAGTGAAATAACAGGTTGAGATGCGGTATAGACCAGAAGATTCTCCTTCTCTTTTTGACTATCATACATAGGAGAGGAAGGAAAGAAAGGTGTAGACTCAAAGAAAGTGACATCAGCAAATACAAGATAACGATTAAGCGTTGAAGAAAAACACTTGTAACCCTTTTGAAGTCTAGAATATCCTAAAAAGACACATTTAAGGGATTTTGGATCAAGTTTGGTAATATGTGGACGAACATCACGAACAAAACAAGTACATCGAAAAATATGGGGATCAATAGGAAGCAGGAGTTTTGACAGTGTTAAGAACTAGTTGTAAATATAGTTCTGTTAGGAGTTAGATTCCTAATAGGTTCATAGTATCCTGTATATGTATATATTTCTGTTAGGAGTTAGATTCCTAATAGGTTCATAGTATCCTGTATATGTATATATATGTGTCCCTATTGATGAAAATATAACAACAATATTTTTCCACGTTGAATTACATGGTATTAGAGCCTGGGGCTTGTTAAGTTTTCTTTTTTTTTTCTCTGCTCTTTTGTGTTGAAACTACAGGCAAAGTGTTTTTTTTGGTGACTGTCAGTCTAGGTCACCCACTTAGGTTAGTGTTTTTGTCTCACCGTCACCCAAGGAAGAAGAGCAGGCCGCCGATCAACTCTCCCTCCCAATCCGGTCATCGGAATCCTCGCGAGTGGGCTTCATGCGCCACTCATATTTTTTTCGCTATTCTTCACGCGCCAGTGCGTGTGGGCACGTCCGGCCATCTCCTGTCACCGGCTCTCAGTTTCTGGCTTCGATTCTGCCAGTACAGTGCAACCCAGTGTGTTGCATCGACCCTCTTCGACTTTTGTGGTGTTTTTCATGTTGCAACTTTGCTGCCGCTTTGCTGGGTACAGTCTGAATTTGTGAATTTATATTCTGCTGCTGCCTATTTGCTATTCTTCTATCAAGTTACCAAGAATCGTAGTTTTCCTTTGCTGTGCTACATTTGTTTTTGAGCGTTTAGTCACAAATCATGACGACTACTCTATCGGAGATTTTCGAATAGAAACTTGTCATCACTGATGTGGTGTAGTTACGGAAGAAAATAACAGAACACAAACTTACTGGCTCCAATTTTCTGGCATGGAGTAAAATAGTTCGTATATATTTTCGTAGTTTGGATAAGGATGACCACTTGACCAATGATCCACATGAAGGAGATGTTAGGAAATCTGGCTTAGAGAGGATGCTCTGTTATTTTTACAGCTTTGGAATTTGATTGACAATGAGGTAATTGGTTTAATTAATCATTGTGAGTTTGTTAAGGAGTTGATGGATTATCTTGAATTTTTGTACTCGGGAAAAGGTAATCGATCTCGTATGTATGAGGTCTACAAAGGATTTTATCGGGCCGACCAGCAAGATAAGCCCCTCACAGCTTATTTCATGGAATTTAAGAAGATTTACGAGGAACTTAATGTTTTATTGCCTTTAAGAAGATTTAACGAAGGAACTTCATAATGTTTTATTGCCTTTTAGCCCCGATGTTAAGGTTCAACAGACTCAGTGAGAACAAATGGCTGTAATGAGTTTTCTTGCAGGTCTTGCTCCGATTTTTGAAACTGCCAAATCACAGTTTCTTTCAGGCAATGACGTTACCACTCTTTAGGAGACTTTCGCTAGATTACTATGTACTAAAGGTTCTCATACCGCATCCCTTATGATAATAGCGCCCTTGTGAGTCGTAATCAGATAGTTACGCAGCCAAGAAACAGAGGAAGAGAAGGAAATAATTGTTGTAATGGAGCAATTTATCGGGAGGCGAGCATTCTTATTTACCTTTATTGCCATGAAAATGGTCACACTAAACGGTATTGTAAAAAACTGATAAATAAGCCGCCAAGGGCAATTATGGCCACTCAAGATTCTGCAGTTACTTCTTCTGTCAACACCATAACAATTTCTACTGCGGAGTATGCTGAGCTCTCTAGATACCATTCTTCTAAGTCTACTAATTTCTCAGTTGCTGCTGTTGCCAAATCAGGTACTCCTACTACATGTCTTATGTCTACCTCATCAGAGTGGGTCCTTGATTCTGGTTGCACAGATCATATGACTGGTAACCCTAGTCTCCTATCCTTAGTAAAAGAATCTGAACAATTTAATCGTCATGTTACTCTAGTTGATGAGTCCACATCTTCTGTCCAGTGTATTGGCACAGCCAATCCCATCCCATCTCTTCCGTTGTCTTTTGTTTTTTGTTTGCCTCGTTTTTCGTTCAATATATTACCTGTTAGCAAAATTACTCATCTACTAAATTGTTGTCTTAAATTTTATCAACATCTTATGTTGATACTCAAAATGGGGATGCAGAAAGAAAAAGTCGACATCTTTTTGAGGTTGCTAGGGCACTTCTATTTCGAATGAAAGACCCTAAACATTTTTGGGCGGATGCTGTCTCTACTGCATGTTTTTTGATTAATCGCAAACATTTTTGGGCGGATGCTGTCTCTA